GCGGAGCGCGGCCCGCGGCGGGGGTGGACACCGAGCGGGTTTGTGTGGGGCTTCCTCGGCACGCACCGCCCCTTCGGGAGGCTGGGGGCCTGTTGTGGAGATCCCGGGGCCCACCGAAGGCAGGGCAGGGTGGGAGCTTCGCGTGCGGCGTTCCAGTCGGGCCGAGCTCTGGGCTTCCCGCCACTCGGTTTCCCGCCTGCCCTCGGTGAGGCCCGCTCCGTTCCCCCCACGCCGACGTTGGGGTCCGCGGCGCCTGGGCCGGTTCTCGGCTCGACCCGCGTGGGTGCATCCCTTTTCCCCCTGCCCCCGGCCAGCCTCCCGTCCGGGCCGATGGCCCCTGGGTGACTCACTCCTTTCCTCCCCCCCATCTTTCCTGGAGGGTACAGGGTGTAAGTGCGTCCAGGTCCCGCCCCCATCCAGCTTGCTCCTTGTTCTGTGTGCTGGTTTGTGGGGGGACCCGCCTCCTGGGCTTTGGGGTTCGTCCCCAGGGTGCCTCCCGCTGCCGGCACGCCCGAGGGCTTGAGAGTCGAGAGTCCCTGGGTGCTGGGAAAGTGGCCACCTCGATGTGCCTGGCGGGGAGAGCACGCTGGGCCGCTGCCGCGCTCCTCCTCGCTTCCAACTCACATTTTTCTTTAGAAACCTCCTTCTTTCGTCCCGCTTCTGAATTGGGCACCTTTGCTTTCACTTCCGTTTTAAAATTTTCATTGGCCTGGTGCTTTTAGACCCTCACAAAGTCACTTTTGTCTGCGGGAACTGCACAGCTTTGAATTGGGATTTACTTAAGCAAGATGTACCTCCTTCTATACGCTGTTTATGGCCTAGCTTTAGGAAATTACTTAATGAAGTTTCAATTGGGTGAGTGCAATTCCAACTTTGGGTGGGAATTAGTAGTAGTAACTTATTCGGGCATGATTTTAATATTCTCTTACAAAAGTGATGCCTGAAGTGTCACATCTTAATGGGTCCTCTGTATAAGTGGTAGCTTAGAGCCTAGTAATCATTCAAAAAGTATTTGTTGAACAAATGAGTAAAGATTGTAAAGTAGGTGATATAGTCTTTTAAACTAAGGCACCTGTGGTATTCAGATCAGCAGGAGCTCTGTCTCAGAATTGCAAAGTTGAAGACACTCAAACCTGTAGTTTTTGACCTCTGAAGTTAGTGTGAATTAGTGTACAGCTCTTTCCCGTATACGAGTTGACTTGCAAAACATTTTTCTTTAATTTTGAACCTTACAACTCATTGGAAAGATTTGTCTGTATGCTGGTAGATGAAACAACTGTGGTATTGGAAGGACTCAAGCCCAATTTACAGGCTTTGAAAAATACATAGTGCTTTGAGAAAAGTATGTTCACAAGATTGACAGCAGAAAGTTCAAGATTTAGTTTCCAAGTTACTTTATCTGTCTCAGGAGTATATAATAATGGTTTTTTCTCTTTAACTGGTATGTTTTTTTGTTTTGTTCAACTTGGAATTTTAAAGAGAATCTTGATGTGTTATATTTGAGCCTAAGGTGAACTAATTTTTATTTAACAGTTCTTTTTGTTTTATAGCATAATTATTTTTAAAAACTACATTAACAATTAGATGTGGACCAAATTTGAAGCATTTTTAAGAGGAGCAATCCAGGGAATTAACATTCCATCAGATCTGTGATTGTTTTATGTACTCCTAATGGGGAGAAAAAAACCCTGACAATTAAACTATGACATACCATTGCTCATAAGAAACATTTAAAGTAAAGAAATATTTAAATATGGGGAAACATGCATAGTAAAGTAGGTGAAGATATTTCTAAGAGGTACACCTGGAAATCTGAATAGGAGTCTTTTCCAAAGCCTGCCACGGAACTCTCTCTCCCTCAGGTGTAAAAACAAGTGTTGTATGTAGGCTTCCTTTGTACTTTGATTATGCCTCTGATTGTTGTGTGTACATAAACTAAAAGTTGGGAAAGAGATCGTTTTGATTTCTATTTCTGGTACATTGGAGTTATCAGGGTTTTCTAAAATGGCAGTTTTGCATGACAGAAACTGGGGAGGGGCCTAAAAGCTGTTCGGGCTATTTTCATTAGTTTTATACACAGTATTTTAGCGGTGGAAAAGGCCTTTATGTGTTCTAGCTTCCTAAACAAAAAAAAAAAAAAAAACCACATACCTGGGATTTCTTTCTTTCCTTTTTTCTTTCATGTTACTTTGTTTAAACATCCAAGGGAGTGACTGTTTTCTTAGTTAAGGAGTTGATGGGATGTTATTTCAAGATTTTAATATAAACTGGATCATTGATGATCACCTTTTCTTTAAAAACTTTTTACAACTATGGCAAGGTTGTATTTGATATAATAACTTAAAAAAAATTTTTTTTAAAGGCAGCATTATCAGAATGTTGTTCTCTGGGTGGCTTGTCAAGATTCCCAGAGTTTATCCCTATCTAAGCTCAGAATGTTTTGATTGGAGTAGAAGTGGTACTTGTCCCACAACCTTCAGAGACATGTTATGACTAGAGTACATTATACTTGGATTAAAGGTGTTTTATAAATACTCAGTTATTGATTGCATGTGATATAGAATTTTCTATTTTTTGGTAGTCGGCTGGTAAGGGGATCTGAACACTTGACCTTGGTTATCAATCCTGTACTCTAATCATCTGAGCTAACCAGCCAGTCCTGATATCGAATCTTTAATGGCATCTAATAATGTTACTTTTAAATTTGGAATTCTGAAATTTAAGATTTTTAATCGAATGGGAATATAACCTGGGATTTATATCTGGGATGCATTGAGAATTAAACAACTAACTGTCAACTTTTGTAATAACTTAGTAAATTTTTTTCAAAGGTCAAAGATGGATTTTTTTTTCTTCAGATTTTATTCCATCTGTTGAGATATTCAGCTAGAATAGAAAAGCTGCAACAGACAAAAGGAATGGTTTTCATTGAAGTATGTTCTTAGACTTGAAAGGTTTTGAAATTCCTGTAGGAACTTCAGATGACATTGCCTTTAGTGTGGGCCAGTTTGTCACTTAAGGAAAATAATTCAGTCTTAAGAATTTTTTAAAAATATAGACTTGTCCTATACTTGTTCAAGAGTATTTGATACTTTTTAAAAGGTTAATGAGTTATATATTCCAAGGGATGCTGTTTGAAGTAATAAAGAATTGTTTGCTATCCAGAATGGTAAAATGTTCTTCTACTATGATACTTAAACTGTTTTCATGGCTCTTTCTTTTTTTTTTTTTTTTTTTTGTCTTTTGTCTTCTTCCGTGTCCGGCAACGGATCGCAACCCTCAGTGTTGCCCCCGTACCGGACCAGGGACCGGCAACGGGATCGCAACCCTCGGTGTTGCTCCCGCGCCTCGCTCAGCCAGTGAGCGGGAACCGGTCTGTATGTGGGATCCGAACCCTTGGACGGGAGCGCCGCCGCGCTTCCCAAGCGGCGCACTTATCCAGTGCGCCACCCGGCCGGCCCCTTCATGCCTCTTTCTAACCTAAATTCTGTTTAGATGTTTAAAATGAATGAAGGCTTCA